TAGCCTTACTGCCCTTCCACCTGGTCTCCTGTACACACAAAATATCTACTCTTCTTCTCTCTATCACATCAGCCAGTTCTCTACTTTCCCCTGTCATTGTACCTACATTCAAAGTTCCAAACTTCAGACTAACACTTTTATTCTTCATCTTTTCTCTTTTTCTCCTAACCAAACGCCCTCCTCTTCTTCTCTGTCTCTGGCTCTGACTCTGACCAACAGTAGTCCAATTTCCATCAGTGCCCTGTTGGTCAACAGCACTGTTGGCGGTCGTTGTTAACCCGGGCCTCGACCGATCCGGTATGGAAATCGTTTTAGTGATTCGCATATTTGATTTAGCTAAACGTTTTACGCCGGATGCCCTTCCTGACGCAACCCTCACCATTTATCCAGGCTTGGGACCGGCACTATAAACACGGCTTTGTGTACCCTAGTGGCTGGCTTTGCATACGTATCACTGAATTTCAAAAACTCAACTTTCTCAACTCTACTCTACTTTCAAAAAATGCATTACCAACATCAAGACCTGTTGATCTGCTAAACATCGGTTTTGTATGACATAAAATTGACAGTTTTAAACCTTCAATTGAACCCATAACAACATACACTATATTTTAATAGTACAGAAATATATATTATGGCAACAAATAAACAGTAGTAACGTGAGACTAAGGAAAGTGAAAGAGGAAAACAAAAACTCTGTGGTTTTCTAAATGTTCTCAGTCAATATCCTATTTCAGACAGGGTCAGACACTTGCTGTATTGAATTGTAATATCTTGAACTTCCATTAACGGTGAGATGCAATCTTTTCTGATATATAGGCAAAACGTCACTGTCACCAAGGAAGCACATAGACAAAAAACAAAGACAAAACAGGCTCTTTTCCTTGGCAGTCCTTATGAGCAGATGGGAAGACCCAATGGCTTTTCACTAAAACTTTGAATGTGTGTGCCATCAGTGGAGTAGTGCATCACTCAACCTCAGATATTCCACAGAGCACAGAGGGTTAGTTGAAGGTACTGGGAAGTGGGATTGTTCTGAGAATGACCCCAAAGTCAAACGTCTCACGTCATAGAAGCAAGTGTGCAGGCCCTGTTAGAATGCATCAGTCAGCAGAGCAAATAAAAGACTCTTTTGACTCATGGAGTGCTCCCTCTCTTGACCTTGTATTTGGCAGTGCGTGCTGGTACAAGCGTCACTTGCCAGCTATTGACTGCCACACTAAAGTGAGTGACGACATTTTGTCCACTTGATTACTGTCTTTCCTGATAATGACACTGTGAATGTGGAACATATTATAAAGCAAGTTCATGCGCATCCATGTCAGTCACTTCCTCTTGAACTGTGAGAAAGAAGGACTGGATTTATGACAGTCCATTCAAATGAAGCTTCAGAAACATTTATGTACAAAGCATATAAGCTAGTCTTTAGTACCCCGACTCAATTGGTTATTCAGAGAGATAAAAAAAAAGAAGACAACTGTCCAAGCGACCTCAATTGCATGAAAACTTGCAATTAGTGAATGAAATAGCAATCAAAAAATTGCCATCTTGTCTATTTAGTAATCAAAACTTTCTCTGATCTTTCACACCCCTCATTATTTAGTAGAGAAAGGACTTACACCTTATAGAAACAATGGTAGAGCTAAAAATAAATGTTACTCCCATACACTCTAGACAATTTGTGATTTAAAATTAAAATTCTGTATTTTAAAACAATTGATTGTTGCTACTTTGTTTAAAAAATATCTTATAGAATTGTGACTGTTATCCAACTCCTACTTTCTAATATTGTATAATAAACTTCGGGCGGTTCAGACAGCACAGTTGCCATGATCTTTTTTCCGTCAGACTAACACTTTTCTTGTAGGTCAATGGAGTCACCAAAGGGCTCGTTTACTAAGCTGGTTCAGTCTGTGTCAGTGCCTCTGTAAACTGCACATACTAAGTCTCTCTCTTCTTCAAAGTTCAATTTTATAGTTTTAGCAGCTTTGAAAGAAATCCTAATAGTGCCACTGTCAATATTCTGACTCAAGGCTGCTGTAGGATTGTTGCAGTGGTTAAAGGTCAGCTGACCAACTTCATTTACAAAATGACCACAATGTTCCATGTTTCCTTCTTTCGGGAAAGCACAGGCATATCCCAAGATGACATTGCAAGGACACACAAGGTTTAAATTATGACAGAGTTTCTCATGGATCGTGAGGCCGCATTTTCAAACATGGAGTGGTCAGTGTCCAAACCTCAACCACATAAAACATCTTGTGGCACTTCAGATGGAGACTAAATACAGCAATCTGACTATTAATTTGACATTAATTTTCAACAAAAGATCTTTTAACACTCAGTATGTTTTACAACAAATATAGAAGCAGATTTTTAAAAATACAAATAAAATACATTTATGTCTCTGAAAAAACAATAAAATACATACTCCTTTAACATAACAGCTTTGTGAAAAGTTTCATAGTTTCTTTTGACATTCGTTTTGTGTTGGATTTATTAAATTTGGTTATTCTTTTCTGTTCTTAAAACCATCACCAGACAACACAGCTAAATTTCCAGAAATACCAGTCAAAATGCTAACGTTAGCCGCAAACAACTACAGTTCCCTTTAAATGGCTTCATTATTGTGTACTCTTGTTTAAGTGAAAGCTACTGCAGTTAGTGTCTGTGGTTGACGCACAGATTCGCTTTACTCTTATAAAACCAATATTTTAAGTTACCACGTCAAAACGTACAGTTACAGTAAATGTAAGTTATGTTAAATTGTCCTTAAGTTAGCTTAGCTACAGTGCTGAGCTTTTAAACAAACAAACCTCGAACAGGGTTTGTGACAACCTTTGCTTCACTTGCCACGACACAAACGATTATACGTATTTTACGTGTAAAGGATAGTGACATGTCAACGATTATTTTCTACGGCTGTTTGTGAGTTAAAACTTGTTTCAAACGAACAGCGACTTTAACAAGCTAATGCTAACCCCTGCTCTGCAGCTGTTTCCGGAAACTAGTCCGAGACCATTCGGTCATTGCGAGCCCATTAAAATACATTTCCTGCATGGAATTGAAATCGATAACAAAAAAAGATACATACCAACTCATTTTGAGTTAACGTCTGTCCGGTTTCAGTCTGTTGTTTTATTATTATCCGAGGACCTCATTCCTTTCCACCATTCAACAGATAGACATAAACAGGAAGTCCGGCAACGAGACACTAGTGTTTCCTTTACAGAACTTTTATTTTTATATTCAATTTAAAAAAACATATTAAATAATAAAAACACAAATTTTAGTTACAGTATTGGGCAGGTGATTCAACATTAGTGAAAATGATTGCAAGTCAAATTGATCTATGTTTTGTAAGCAACATACCTTTTCATATTTTGCTCATATATATATATACATATATATATATATATACATATATATATATAAACATATATATATATATATATATATATATACACACACACACACACACACCTTTTGTATGAATCCATAGGCTGGTTAGGACTTACTACTAGCTTTCATTCAGCTATCCTAATTGTGTTAAGAAATAATTTATTGATCTTTATTTTACTTTGTTAAATCTTTGTTGATCTTGCACTAGGAAAATTATTGCGTTGAAGCAGCATAGGCAACTGAGACAAAGACCGTACATAAGAAATTACAACACAAAGCACACAATGACAACAAGATAATATTTATGCAGTTGACATGGCACACCAAACATGAATGACGGCTCAGTGCATCGTTAAGGAAAGGAATTGAAAGGAAAGTGAACTCCTTGTCATTGTGACATTGTGACACACGTCACTGCACACAACAGAATTTGACCTCTGCATTTAACCTATCACCAAAGTGAATGGTGGGCAGCTTTTTGAGTGCCCGGGGAGCAGTGTGTGGGGACGGTGCCATACTCAGAGCACCTCATTGGTAACTTGGCAGCTGGTGAATTCGAACCTGCAACCTTCCAGACTCAAGTCTGCTTCCTTAATGGTTTAGTGCAATGATTTTTCACTGTTATTGAAAACACTGCTAACCTATTAAAATTTGTAGTTGCTGTTAACACAAAGGTAAAGGTAATGTCAAGGAAATGACAATGAAATAATTGTATTAAGTAGCTCAATCAACTCAGGTAGATTCAGTTTGAAGACAAAAATGAACGCAAACGCTCTTATATTTAAGATAGCCAAAAATGTGATGCTTTGTTTTTCAAACATTCTGTGGAAACATCTCACATCTTACCCATGTCACGTCCAACACAACTGACTCTATGCTATCATTGAGTTTAGTTGCTGTTTTTGGCAACACCAACTCTGAGACCTATGGCTTCCCTGTCAAGTACAAACAAAACATACAACAGCTTGTTCATTTTGACCACAACACAAACATTTTTGTATGAACAAAATAGAGGCCCGTTAAATACAATGGTGCTCTGTTATATTAATAAAATTTGACAGCTAGACAATTTTGTTTATACAAAGTCAAAAAAACGATAATAAGGGTCTGAAGGGAAGTTTGGCCTCCACATATGCACCATGTATAGATACACACAGTCTATTGATGATGAAGAAACATTTATGTTATTATTTAATTAATGTGTCTGCTGTGCATGAGACACATTTATCTTTATGTAATATATCAGTCCTAAGGGATTCAAAATATTGTACTTGTTGTGTACAAAACAGTTTCTATATATTTCATTTTAACTGTATCAATGCATTTTTTCCCTCAATACAAAAACAATGCAACTGATATTGCGAGTCTTGGTACGGGAAAAAAAAAATCTAAGACAGTCAGACACCTGCAGTCCCAATGTTGTTTTGAGCTTTTTCTCAGATTATTCAAAGTGATAATAGTATTTTGTTATTATGTAAAAGTATAAAAATTATGTACTTTCACCATCTCCATAGAGTTGGTTCAGGTGCATACATACATGTATTTATGTATGGGAACTAAAGTAAACTGAAGGCAAGTTATATTTTTCTTTATTCAAGTACATACATAGAAATAACAAAACTGCAATACAACAAACCGAAGTGCCAAGTAAACAGGGGAGAACAACTCCCCAACACGAGGATATAGTAAAATTCATTTTAATACTCAATTCATCGTAAAAGGACCTTAGTATAAGGTAATAAAAACATGAAATAACTTTAAGACTTCCACAACATTTTAACAAGACCTTTTGTTTTCTTAAAAGAAAAGCCAATACAACAGAAATCCCAGTGTGTGTTTCCAAGTGACGTTCTTGAATTGTTGGAATATTTATGCCAACTCACCCAAATATAGGTGCATTTACTTTTCATGCATAATAAAGAAATGAGTGCCGCACTCAGCATATGGGGCAACACTCGGGAACATTTCCGTGCACATGCAAACGTGATCATATACTGTAATGAAAAAGGAAACACAACACAACAGAAAACAGTGAGTATCGACTCCATCTAACTACCAGAGTGTGGAGACCTCAAAATCCCTGCTGTAGTCCATGGCATGACATGAGATGTCTATAAGATCTACACATTATCGACATCTTTTCAGTTGTAAGCTGTTTTCCCCCCAATGTCATAAAACATCTAATTGTTAATGGACCAAACAGCCCAAGCCTGTTACTGTATCCACGGTCCACTTCACAGACACTGAACTAAACATAGAAACACAAAGTATTGTGTAGGATTAGTTACTCCTGTCCAAATCTGATCATTTTGACTGGCTAACCCAGCAAGTGGATTTTGGACAAAAATGGCTGCCAATGTGGGCTCTGGTAAGTGGCTAAATCCTACTATTAAATCTACTTATGGACAACAGCAGACAGAAAACATAACATAATGCCTCCTTTCAGAAGCATCATTGTGAAAGAGGGGGGTTGTTTCTGAGTTCAGAAAGTCATTGACATTTATCTATAGCATTCATGCTGTTCACGGAGATATTCAGTAGAAACATGGCACAGCGCACATTGTTATTCAGCAACCTATAGGAAACCGGTTGGGGGAAAAATTTTGAAACCCTCGCATCAATTACAGAAATGTCACAAAACCCAAGTGACAGAATGTCCTGTTATGTGACTGATGAAATATTGACGTTGCAGGGTTGTAATTACACGGCTTCATTTAGATGTGGAAATAGTTTGGTGTGTAGTCACCGCCTCACTCTGCATCAGTCCTTGACGCAAAGCAACAAAAACACAGTTTTCTCAAGGAGGATGCCACAGTTTCTATGCTATAATTAAAAAGCAAAAATCATTCTCACCAGTGTCAAAACTGGAGCACGCAAGAGCATCATTTTTGGTTAAATCAAGTCAAAATTATCTAAAGAATGTAACAATCAAGTTATTGTAAGTAAACATTAAAGATACACATGAGTTTTTTTTTTCACATCACTGCAACCATAGACACTGGTGCTGACTCTACGAAGCGCTCTGATATGGGATTATTATACTTGAGGCTAGTCACTCCCGTCTAGACTGAATCTAGTCAAGAATCAATTTAAGTCCATCAAACTCGTCATAATTTGGAAAGCATTTCTTTAGATGTTCCAAAGTTTCACTATTTTTTTTATTTAAATAAAATAATTCTTATGATAAACAGCTACTTTTTATACAGCAAGTTGTTTCAGGGAGTGTGAACTTTTAAACTATCTAATATAAAAGTGCTCAAAGGTCAGTCCATTTAGCCATGCAGATGAGCTGAGGAAAGACTCTGAGGTCAAATTAATTGGAAAAAATAACTTGCCAGGAAGCTCCTTGTTTCTGGCCTTTGCATTTGTCTGTTGATATTTTCCTTATGTCTGAATGCTATGTCTGCTGACCGCTACATTAACAAATATTTTCTAAGTTTTGTTTATGTTGTATTTTTTTCCAACAAATACAAATTTGAAAGAAAAAGTCTCTCAGAAAAGAAGAATTATTTTCTTTCCATCCAGCTACAAAAAGGAGAAGTGAGAAGCCACATGTGGAAAATGTTGCTATTTCCATGAAGAGTATTTCATCAGTAATTCTCAGAAAACTTAACAATTTCATTCATGTGTTCTTGTATACTGGGGGATTTCTTTTTTTTTATAAAGATACAACACACATACCAGTGCTTCCTTAAAACAAATATTACTCTATGTAACCTTTGTGTTGTGTTTTTATGACAGAAATTGAGAAAACACTTCCTTATTTGGCACTGTGGCTTTTGCTATGACCTATGACAACAAAATGAAAACTACAATATTCTAGACAGATTCCGTCAAGGTATTCTGTCAATTTAAAATGTATTCATTATGCTGACACTTCTATTTACACAGTGTGCATGAACACGTGTACATACTGTACTGCATGTGCACAATTTAACACTAAGCTGTGGTGCATTTGGTGTCTGAGTGCAAATGTGATTAATCTATTACAGCTACATACATATTTGTGCTTTGTACAAAAACAAGTTTACAAATCAGTCTCTGTCTGGATTGGAAATAATTTAAACATAGGAGTTTGTTTTTAACACAATGAAGTGTACAAAAAAAAGCCTCATTCATTCTTTTCCCCCCACTTTGCTTCCATATGCTGCTAATTTGCAAACCAGTGTTGTTTATTTAAGTACTTCCGTCTGTTCAACTGTGCTCTTAGTTAATTTGATTTATGGGTTGGTGGCACATGTCACGGACCTATTGCATATAATTGCAGAACTCAGAAAAAGTGAAAAAAAATGGATGGTATTGAAATTATATCTGGTAACAACACATAAAACCATCACATAAAACGGTAACAAAATTACACAGTGTCAGTAAGTGACAACAAATAAATAAATCTTGGCAAAGACATTGATTGCTGCAGGCTTTTTTGATTTTTTTTTTATATGAACAGGTAACAGGAAAAAAAACATTGTTTCATTTATTTTGTGTAATCCTTTCAGTCATCTAGATTTAACCAAATCCAAATGTAAAAATCAAGAACTGAAAGTCTGCCCTCTTTTCAATTCAATGTATGCTGAGCTGAAATCGCTTTTAATGCAAACATCAGGCACAATACTGAAGAACCAAGTTGGCGTTTTTAACACAATACGTTTGGCAACATTCTTTCAAAGAAACAACATTCAAAATATAAAATATAAACACACGTAAGAAAATTCAGAAAGACAAGTCAAGTGCCACTTATAAGGTAACAATGACAGCACACAAATATAACCAATTGCACTTTTAAACAGCCTAATAAAATTAATGCAATTCCTACTCTTCCCATAACTAAGCTCCATCATAATTCTGTCTCTGATAATCCTTGTGATGGATTCTGGATTCTCTACAATGTTGAATTTCTCAGTTAAATTTACAAAAGTGAAGCTACCTCAAAAAACTATACATACACAGTGGCCCCCAGGGCAGTATGTGCCAAGATGCCCCTTCTTTGTGTTGGCACTGCGTAACAGTAGCTGAGGCTTTGAGTTGTTAGACAGAAAAGGGCGTAGCAGCCGTTTCCTGCTTATTTAATCTAAAGGCGTCCATCTAAAAACAGAAGGAATACAACTTAGTGAAGCTTGGATGGAAAAGAGAGGAAAAAAGTCACCTATTTATCTCATAGTGGATGTGGTCCCTTCTTCATTAGTCATTTTTTATGGGGCCTGGTGAGGGTTCAAGTCCAAGTGCACTGACTAACGGTCATGATGTTCCCACCGTTGGCCCCCCACAGGAGCTGGGTGGCGAGCTGTGGCTCCCCGCTGCCCCACTGCTCTTGTCTGCCAGCTTCTTGTCCTTCTGTTTCAGGTGAACCTTTGCATGTCTCTTTCGCTCATCACTTCGAGCAAACTTGCGTCCACAGAACTCACAGGAGAAGGGTTTCTCACCTGTGTGTGTGCGGATGTGAGTGGTCAGGTGGTCACTCCGGCTGAAGGAGCGCATACATATTCGGCACTGGAAGGGTTTGTGACCTGTGTGGATGCGAAGGTGACGCGTCAGCTCGTCAGACCGGGAAAAGCGCCTGTCACAGTTCTCTGCCGGACAGGCATGTGGCCTTTCGTGGACTGGGGTTTTGCTGGGACGGTTGGGGTACTTCCTCGGCCGGATGGGTTTTAGGGTGAGAGTCTGTGGCGGTGGGTGGTGCTGAGGAGGGTGCTGCTGCCCACCGATAAAACCTGGGTGAATTTGCTGCTTGTCTTTAAATGCCCTGATGGTCTCCAGTGGTGTGATGGGTGGAGGGTTGACCCGGATAGGGTCCATGGTCTGGAAGGGCTTGTGTTCCATCACGCCAACATCACCCTGATGGTGGAAAAGGTTGTAGTCAGGGATCATGGAGAAAAGACTTCCATCCATGGAGCCTTTGGATGTGGAGTGATAGTCATTGCCAGGGTAGGGTAGAGCTGTGCTGGTGGCGGGGCTGTGGTGAAAGGAGACCTGGTCCTGGTAGAGGTCACTGCAGGTGGAGTAAGCAGGTAGTGGTGGACCATAAACCTGCTCCATGTCAGACGTTTGTCCACCCATGCTGGCTGCAGAGGATGATGTCTGCGCTGTAACCGTGCCAGGTGATGGAGATACCCCCAGGATCCCGGCGCTGACCAGACTGATAATGTTATTATCAGAGCACCAGCCTGAACCTCCTATGCCACCTGATGGAGGAGTGTCAAAGGCAAACTTCCCCAGGTAGGTGACAGTCTGCCCACTGCGGTTGGACTGAAAGCCGGAACCATACTGGATCTCTGAAGGTATCTTCTCGCTCCCCATGCCCAGGTCCATAATATTATCTACAAAAAGCACACAAAACGTATATGAACAAATCATCCACGTGCTTTATCTGAAAAAGGTAAAAAAACAAAAACAAAACTTATGTTAGGCTACAGAAAGTAGAAGTTCTTTTGCAAAGATTTAGCCTTTTTGTTTGCTGCATTTTTCTGTAGGTGCAAAAGAAGGTCCAAAGTTGTTAAAGAGTCTAAGGCAGTTTATGAAGAAACGTAAGTGCTGTCAGACCCTTAAGATAAGTGAGTGACTGCTGCATCAGAGTTGGTGCTGCCTCTTCTCTTTCGTCCTCTCTCTCCTAGTGTCTCTCTCTCTCTCCCCCTTTCTCTCTCTCTCTCTCTCTCTGAGATCCCACAGGCTCTCATAAATCAAGACTTAAACACCCCCTTCGATCCAGTCATTGTGTCCCTCAGGAGGACAGCCAAACTGAATGGCAAGATCTGATTTCTTTACAGCAGGGAGGATTATAAGGCAGACACCACATCTATCACACAGAGGGATTCAAAACACATTTGCAGCAAAGGGGCATCAGCACATTAGCAGTGTGTAAGAGTGTGTGTGGTAAGGTATTCAAGTGTCAGGCCAATCTCTGTAATAGTTGGCTTCATAAATTCTTTGATATTTAATTTGTAAACACTCTTTTACTACAGTCTTACACACACACACACAGAGATTATTCATGACTGATTCCCCAAATCCCCTGGATACGTCAGATGTGGACGCATTAAACAGGGACATGGGGACTGATCAGGCTCAGGAGACTCAAATGTGACATATGTGAAAAGAATTCCTCCTTAAAACCCAAGCTGAGATCGGACGACTCTTTTCCATTCGCAGGAAATCATATGCTGAGGTCCTCATCCATTGACTCCCAGTAATTACAGCCTGCTACAATTTAACTAAAGGCAAATTACAATGAAACAAACACAACCAAAATTATGTGTATTGCACAATTGTGATTGTCACATGAGCAGTGATTCACAATGACATAATTTTGTTTATGTGCATAACGTCAACATTTTGACATAAAGAAGTCAGAGTTCATATTAATGTTTTTTTTTTGAGTTTATACACAGACTTAAAGGCACGGAATAAAAAGATCACCATCTTATTCTGGATGCTCAATTGGGATGAAACCTTTCCAACACCTGCTGCACCAGAGAAATAAATCACAGATTTTAACTAAAACGTTCAAATTGACATTTCCTCGCTCCAATACAAAATAACCTAGTCTACAAATATATTAAAAAATCTTGATCATAATATAAATTCACCAGGAACAGAAATAATTAAAACAGCAACACACACACACACACACACACACTCACACACACACTCACACACACACCTGAAGTCTGCTGCAGCTTTTGCCCATCATATTTTAATTTGTTTAAATTGCTCATTCTTGTCAGTGTTCATATTAAATGTATATATTTATGTAAAAAAAGCCACATATATGTCAAGCTGAATATATTTAATTCCCTTCCATATATATGAACATAAAGAAGAAATGATTATTTAACCACCTGGCCCTGGGACATATTTTGAGGTCGAATCAGGGGGGAATTATTAAAGATAAATCGAATCTAGATGCTGTTTTAATTATTAGGAATCAAATAAAAAAGATCTAGGTCAGACCCAAGAAACTAAATGTAAATATAATTAAATCGGATGTTGATTTTATTCAGGAATATTGAACATTTAACACATTTTGCGGAGGTAGGTGTGTATACAATTATTAATAAAATTATTGAAACAACAAATAAATCAGATGCATCCATAAACAGTAAAAATATACGTTAATCTGGATTAAACTACAAATCAACAGAGATCCACGGCCTCGCTTTTTATTTATTTATTTATCTTATTTTGAAAAGGTGATCCACGGCCCTGGCGTCTTAGGATGTTTATTTGGAATAAAAACTGCCACAGACATTTAGATGAAAACTTAAAAACAAAACAAAACAAAACAAAAAACAAAAACAAACAAACAAACAAAAAACAGTCAGAAGTTGATGTTGACGAGATAGAGATTGTCATTGTCTAAAATAGTCATTCATTTATGAGATAAAATAACGGCGTGTATTCTTTAACCTTTTTAATTGGACGCTGATCCACAATTCTTTAAATAGGCCGTGTTTTACACTGAATTTTCCTCCTTCCAGATTCTCCCGTTATTCCTCAAACAATGTTCCCAATTAACCTCACCACAAGCTCCCTAAGTGTAATACCCCATGATAGGAACTATTTATTTTCCAATCTTTTCCATTAATAGATTTCAATTTAATAGAGCGTGTTTCCATGTTTAATGATGATACGTTTGAAAAGCGGACATTTTCGGTAACGGGAGTACAGAAAAATGACACTAACAGCCCGGAAGAACACACATATTAAATACGTTTTACTCTTTAAACAAAATTGGAATGCACTGACGGTCACGGGTTTTAAACCAGACTCAGAAAAAGTGTTCAGATCGGCAGATGTTTTTTGTGCGCAACAGCCAGAGAGCGCAAACAGGTGCCTGTACCCGCGGCTCCAACTGTTGCCTTCCGCGCACAAAACACTTAGACGCGCTTGACGGTGGAAGATGCGTGTGTGTGAGAGAGAGCCTTACCTGTATTCATCTGTGAATAGTGGTTAATAGATTCCGTATTGGTGAAAATATTCATAGATGTCGGGATGTCCTCCTCCGGGTACAGACTGTCAGGGATCGTGTTTATTAAACTGCTCATGGTAAGAGGGAGCTTTTCCGCTAGTTTCCCTGTCATAGCAGTTAATATTCAGTACGACATTTATGAAGGACGCGGCGCCGGTTACCCAAGAAGTTCCAGCCAAAAAAGTTGAGTTAAAACAAACAAACAAAAACAAAACACAGCTGCAGGTGTAGATGAGGCGTCAGTGGAGCAGGAGTGGATGGACCTGACCAGGTATCCCGCCGAGGACGCGCCGCGCTGCGCTGGTTCTTCTCTGTGTCCTCCTTGGGTGATCGCTCTCAGGCAGAGTAGAGTTGTTATTAATGTGATCACTGTGGAAGCTGATGAGCTGCTTGTGAGGGAATTTGAAGTCTGTGAATCAGGGGGGGGGAGGAGGGGGAGATGGAGAAGGAGGTGGTAGTGGTGGCGTTGGTTGCAAAAGAGCGGCCCCACTTGCTCTATTGGAGCTGGAGAGGGGACTCCAGTGTGTCTGTATTAAATAGGGGGATGGAACATTTGTGTGACGTAGATGACCATATATGGACAGAGCGCCACACGAGGCACCCTCACTTGCAGTCTCTGCGCGTCAGCCGGTGGAAACTTCACTGTCAAAGGGGAAAAAGAGAAAGGCTGCGGCAGCACTGATAGGTTAATACCCGAGCTTTTCAGTCCACTCCACCGGAGACAAGTCTGCTCCATCCCGTTCCTCGTGGAACTGACGGAGGCGCTGGTGGAAATGCCTGAAACACAGTTACAGCTTGCAGTGTAACTGAGAACTTTTCTATTTTACACACACCTGTAGAGAGAGTTCACTGACTGAGGAGTTTAAGCCAGTCCTTCTCAACAACTGAGTTGAGACCCAGACATGGCTCAGCAGTAGACATTTATTTTTAGACTAATAAATAAAGAAATGAAGCAATTAAAAAACGAAGCCATCTCACTGAACTGTGGTGAACTTTTTTAATCATGATGAATATAAAAAATGGAGATTAAAGGGGTTTATAAAAAACAAACAAACAAACAAACAAACAAACAAACAAAAAAAAAACAGACTAGCTCATTAACATACTGACTCTGTGATTTCTTTTTTCAGGCCAACCATTTCCTGAGACCAAGACTTGGTCTGGACTCACAAAACTGTCACAGAGTGTACCATAAGGTAGGGCAGGAGATTGTGAGAAATTGCTCAATTATTAAGCTTAATTGATTAATTAAAGTTGATTGTGGTAACTTGTACTAAAAATATAATTGTTATGAATGGAGATGTATTATTGTGTAGCATGTTCTGATACAGTCCTAAGGAGCTCATTTGTTTCTGCTGCAGCCATAATATTTCAGTGAATTACTCAAAGACCAAGATTATCACTGTCAATCACTGTCAATATTAGATACTATAGATCAGAGATTGTAGTGTGTCCAGCTCACTGTCACACAGTTCTAGTGATTTATTTTAATCACAAAATGACTTATCTGCATCAGATTAAAGAAAATACACAAATAGATAAATGGGAAATACTTGATCAATGTAAACATCTTAGAGACCGAAGTAGGCATTCATATAATGCAATCCCATTAAGTAGATGGCTTTATGCTATGCAATCTATATGATTTAAATGCTTAAAATAAAATGAAGAACTTGTCCCCTAATTATGAAGGTAGAAGTCCTTCTGTGTGTTCTGGTGGAACATAAACACACTTCTGTTGTTAAAGAAGAACTGCTCAGTAACACAAACCCTCTCTTCATGCAGCAACAATACGACAGACACCACTTGACAGACTTAACCACATGTAAATATTACAAAATCCTTGTAAATCCACTGGCTTACATTGACTTGGACTCCACCAGTGAGCTTTCATGTGGAAGCTCCATATAAGGTAGTGTCCGGCCCCGCCCCCTTAGCCCTCCATATATGGCCATGGGAGTTCCGGGTGAAGTATAGTAGTGGAAAAGTGATCGGAAGCCACAAAGGGTTTTTTTCTTCTTCTTCTGCGTCTCTTTTTAAAAGAGGGGTGGCAATGGACAAAGCGTCATGGCTCCATTTTCAACAGTTTGCCAACTTGTGAAGAAAATATCTTCCCTGGTGGCCAGAATATTAGGTTTCAAGTTTTCTTTTAGTTTGTCAAAGAAAAATATCACTGACAGGAGATATTTTTCCCCCACGCATTTCTTGATATTTAAGCACATAAATAAACAGCATATTAAACAACTTAAACAACAAGCAAAAACGATTACAACCCAACTTTGTTCACTACAATCTAAAGGCTATGTGTGTAATAGTTAGTGACGTCTAATGGTGAGACTGCGGATTATGGATTAATAATAAAAAAAAAAAATAGCAGAGGACTCCTGGACTGACCACTCCCCTTCCCAAACACATCAGTAAACTATGGTGGCCTTCACGGTCTGGAGGAAATTACCTTCCTCCTGTTTGAGTTATAAATGCCAACAAGGCACATACACTTTATTTAAAACATTTTTGTACTGTTGAAAATCCCTTAAAACACAACAGGCATTTGAGTTTTTATCCAATGACCTACAGTAACAAATCAAAACAATCAGTACAACAGAACCTGATCTAGGGATCATCAGTGGAAACAATGAGAGACCAAAACTAGGATTACTGTTAAAATTAGATGTTTTATTTTAAAGAAATTCATTTTTATTCTCCCTGACATCATTGCTGCATGTGTTTAACAACGTCTGAAAAATTCTGCTACTTTTAACACCACATATTGAATTGAAGAAAGTTAATCTGTGCAGCATATTTACTGTCGTCTTTATGCACAAATGTATGTTCTCATATAGTAAACTCTCTGACCTGCAGATGTGAATGCATCGCAGGCTACAGAGCAGTGGATGGTTACAAATGTGAGGTCTAGATTATTGTGTTCAAAATAACTAGTGCTATAATTGTCCCAGGATGACAACAATGTAGATCATGATTTGCAAAATCCACAGAAAAAACAAATATACAAAAAACAGAATGAAATGTCAGAGCCTGAGTACTCAGACCTGAGAAATTAACAGCACCTCGATGAATCAGAAGTGTAAACAGAGTGTGTGGGAGAATTAGTCAGAATCATGCTCAGTGTTTAGAGGCCTTACACAAACAGAGCAGGCGATGATCCTGTGTCTCACTCACTACCAGAGACACGGTGTCCATGTGTACATCTGAGTCCTCTCAATGTGTCTCCATCGCAGTCTTTGCTCAAGAAAGTAGAAACCTGTGACCATCGACAGGCCTGGTTTTCTTAGTTCAGCAACAATTCTGTTCTACTTTTGTGTATACACTATGTGTTTTTGTTCTGACTTCCTCCTCTGTCTCACGCTGACTCACAGTGGTCTAAATTGGTTCTCTGCATCACTTTTTGTGGTTCAGAAGGCAACACCAGTGAAATTTGTCTGTTTAGTGTTAGTGTTAAAGAGTTAAACACAGCTCTAACTAAAGGGAATTGAAATTGAAACACTGGACACTTTATTAGGCACAGGAATTTAACTGCTAACTGGTAATGCAGTAACAACTAATCAGCCACGACATGGAAAAGACAACTTGTTAATGTTTACGTAGCCTTCTAAATGAAGAAGCAAGCTCACAGGTGTGATTTGATGCCAACCAGGCTTGTCTGATTTACATTTTGTTTGCACAACATTCTTAACTGTAACTGAAACTGTCCAAAAAGAAAAAAAAACAAAACATCAATACACACAGCATATGCAAACTACTTCAGTTGTAAGTCACTGGAAAAAATACTACTAATTTAATCTTATCTTCCTCTTTTCTCCCCTGGAAATAGACCCAGTATTCAAACTATGTGAAATGTATTTCTGGTAACAACCCTATTAAAAGATCCTCACAGTGGATATTGTGAACTGAATGAACGTTACAGTCTCACCTCAAGGGCAGCGTGTGTGGCTTTGTGGTTGGAAAGTTGACCAACACATGTGCAACGTCTACTTACCTGTAACAGGGTAATTTCCTGGTGTGACGGCTAGATCACATGACAGGCAGTGTTTTGTCTTCTTTGACTTCTTTGACACCTTCTTTGGTTTTTTTTATTATTAAAATATATTTTTGAAAAGCCACGTGGTGGAAGAGTGTTTGGTGTTCTTGCATAACAAGGCAGGAGTATGGAGTTTGAAAGGTTCTCCCTGGGAACTCCACCCACAGTCTAAAAACATACAGGAACTGTAATTTGGCGTTAGATGTGATGCTGATATGGACTAGTGCACTATCCAGGGTCTATCCTGCCCCATGTGCAACACCTTCACAACAAGATCCATGGTTCACTAGTCACCAATAAAACATGTGCCATAAGAGCAGTAGCACAGTGTACATGAATAAAGTGGCAACAATGTGTTTCTGACAATTTTCAATTATTCTAGATGATCATAAACAAAAACAAACAAAGTGCAAGACAATTTTGTTGACACTTTTATTTTCTAATGTAAATAAATGGAAAGTTATTTAGTTCCAAACAACGCAGATTACATAAGACATGCAGAGTTGCGCCCATGCGATTTAGTCAAAGACACAAAGTGATTAGCGGACTGAAGAGATGCCACCCCAAAGTCAATCACTGCTGCTTCTCCCAGAAAATGATTATATATATATA